TTGGTCATATTTGCACTTATTGGCTCCGTTTCTACGATGCTGTTCCTTGCAGTCGTCCCAAGGCTCTACCTTCTAGGTGGGTTGTTAGCGATTATAGCTAATACATGTTTTGGAGCTTCTTTCGTACTATTGAATTCTTTTCTGCCTCTACTGGTTCGCTATCATCCCATATTGCTGGGTGGACATAGTGAGGAGGATTCACCCACCGAGACCAACCATGATTCGACCTCTACAGCCGATGGCTCGGGTCAAACCGACGGAACCGAAACAACATCACTGCTTCGGCCAGAACAAAGCCGCAATGCCTCTTCTATGGGTGACGAAACTCAAGTGTTTGCCTCGAAAACTTCTCAGGAATTGAAGCTCTCCACAAAGTTATCCTCAAACGGGATCGGCATCGGATACATAGGTGCAGTGATACTGCAAGCAATTTGCATCCTAGTTGTTGTCGAAACTCACCAGACAACATTCTCGTTACGCCTAGTCCTCTTTTTGATTGGGCTCTGGTGGTTTACCTTCACCATACCCGCGGCAATGTGGCTACGTGCCCGGCCCGGCCCGCCCCTTCCATATGGGAAAGAGACTGGTACATGGACTAGTTATATGGCATACGCTTGGAAATCTCTGGGCAGAACAATAATGCGGACTCGAAATCTGAGAGATATCCTGTTGTTCCTGGCAGCTTGGTTCCTCTTAAGTGATGGTATCGCGACAGTCAGCGGGACCGCCGTCCTGTTTGCGAAGACACAATTGGGGATGCAGCCAGCTGCTTTGGGGCTGATTAATGTCATTACGATGATTGCAGGAGTCTTTGGAGCTTTCTCTTGGAGCTTTGTGTCGCGAGCATTCAATCTCCGGGCTTCCCAAACGATAGTTGCTTGTATTGTTTTATTCGAGCTTGTGCCGCTCTATGGTCTCTTAGGCTTTATCCCCGCAATCAAAAGCCTAGGGTACTTGGGCCTCCAACAACCATGGGAAATGTACCCGTTGGGTGTCGTATATGGACTCGTCATGGGTGGACTTTCTTCATACTGTCGGAGTTTCTTTGGGGAATTGATCCCTCCGGGATATGAGGCTGCATTCTATGCTTTGTATGCCATCACTGATAAAGGTTCCAGTGTTTTCGGTCCCGCCATTGTTGGAATCATCACAGACCGTTACGGGGAGATCCGACCTGCCTTCGTCTTCCTTGCTGTCCTGATCATGCTGCCTTTACCCTTAATGCTCTTGGTCGATGTAGAGCGTGGAAAGAGGGACGCGCTTTCACTTTCGAAGGAACTCGAGGGAAGACCGAGACAGGAGGTGCCGGCCTATGGAGCTGTCACCCAATGCCCATCTCATAGCGAGAACCGAGTGGAATAGAGGCGATGGTGGTTGCGTGAAGGATGACTTGTGAATTCATGTTTTTACTCGTCTGAGTAGATGTGGCAATCACCTGAAGGTGTTACTTTGTGTGGCCGAACAATGGCCCTGTTTATTTTGCCCTAGGTCTAGGAGACCAGAACTTTTATTTTGGTAGCGCTTAGTAACTATATAGGCGGCATGCGCCGTACCTGATGTCCTCCAGTATCACTTGCACTAAATTACCCAGCTTAGTAGGTAGACACCACGGTGTGGAGGAGGAGCACAATAAACAGGGCCGTATGGAGATTGTGTGATTACTAGGGCTAAAAGGAAGTAATTCGAGACCTTGTCATGGAATGTGGCCAGCTGGAAGGTCCGCAGGAGTAGGTTCAAACCTTGAAGGGGGGTTGGTAAGGAGGAATGACTGAATACCAAAGAAATAGTTAGCCACTATCTACGGAGTACAGCAAGTAACTTACTAGTTAAACTAGGAAGTGAACCGTTACCTAGTTAAGTAATTAAGGGATCCAATTTGGTCGAAGTAGGGGCGGTACCTCGGTACCACTAAGACAAAAGTGGGTAAGTAGCTCTTAGGGGAGATACACTATGGTCTCACAATAATAACTAATCATCATCATAATTAAGTACTGGTGTCCCATGTGCCTGAGCAATCTCTCTAGTATGTCTACCATCCCTACCGACCAATCGACCAACTTGCTACTAGCCATTGGTGTAGGTATCTACCTGGTACTACCCTTTCTTAAGTGAAGTATGCCTAGATTACCAGTCCCTTGGTATGAAGGTCCCTTGCTGTCCAGGGCGGGTCCGGTTGAGCCAGTCAGAATGCTCAGCAGGCCAGCTGACTGCAGAAAGAACAGACTGTCCTCATCGCCTCTTCATAGCTACAGGAGTAGTGGGTTAGCTAGTTAATCCAGGCGGATCAGCCTATGATACTAAGTACTGTACTATTTATTTAAGGACTATTTGCCTTCCCATTCGCTCCATCGCTCTTTTCTCTTTCGGTAGCTTCTGCTCTACGCATCACCTGCCTTTCTCCTCCCTCCCTCCCCTCTCCTCCATCCAATCCGGGTTGGTCTATTGTTTACTACTTTCATTGACTTTCGAGGTTCTTCGGAAGTCACTGGGAAAAAGCAGGCATCCATCGCGACAACCCCCTCCCATTGTCCTCGACTCCGCTGCTACTTTTTCTTTATTTCAAGATGCGCTCCTTCGCGCCCTGGCTCGTTAGCCTTCTCGGCGCATCCGCGGTGGTTGCAGCCGCTGATACCGAGTCTGATGTGATCTCCCTGGATCAAGACACATTTGAGAGCTTCATGAACGAGCATGATCTCGTGCTTGCCGAATTCTTTGCTCCTTGGTGTGGTCACTGTAAAGCCCTCGCGCCAAAGTATGAGGAAGCAGCCACGGAGCTGAAGGCGAAGAATATCCCTCTGGTGAAGGTTGACTGCACCGCCGAGGAGGATCTTTGCCGGAGTCAGGGGGTTGAAGGTTACCCTACCCTCAAGATCTTCCGGGGTGTCGATTCTAGCAAGCCGTACCAGGGCGCGCGTCAAACAGAATCGTGAGTTCCCTTTTTTATTACCGGAAGAAAGAAATGGGCATGCCTCAAGAAGCTGTCATGTATGTGATGTGCCACTGACTCATGCTGTGTTTCCTAGTATCGTTTCCTACATGATTAAGCAGTCACTTCCTGCAGTATCCTCAGTGAACGAGGGAAATTTGGAAGAGATCAAGACCATGGACAAGATTGTGGTGATCGGTTATATCCCGTCCGACGACCAGAAAACTTACCAGGCATTCGAGAAATATGCCGAGTCTCAGAGGGATAACTACCTCTTCGCTGCAACGGATGATGCGGCCATTGCGAAATCGGAAGGTGTCGAACAGCCCTCCATCGTGCTCTACAAGGACTTCGATGAAAAGAAGGCTGTTTACGATGGCGAGATCGAACAGGAGGCTATTCACAACTGGGTGAAGTCCGCTAGTACTCCCCTCGTGGGCGAGATTGGCCCCGAGACCTACTCTGGCTATATTGGGGTAAGTAGGATCTTTACGTCAACGTGGCATTTTCTTGCATTTCGGCTTGACTTTCGATGTCAACTTGCTGGCTGGACTGGCTAACCATTCTTCAACATAGGCTGGAATCCCGTTGGCCTATATCTTTGCCGAGACCAAGGAGGAGCGCGAAAAGTACACCGAAGACTTCAAGCCTATCGCCCAGAAGCACAAGGGTGCTATCAACATTGCTACTATTGACGCTAAGATGTTTGGTGCCCACGCTGGAAACCTCAACCTAGACACTCAGAAATTCCCGGCATTCGCCATCCAGGATCCCGCAAAGAATGCCAAATACCCCTACGACCAGGCCAAAGAATTGGATGCCGACGAGGTTGAGAAGTTCATTCAGGATGTTCTGGATGGCAAGGTTGAGCCTAGCATCAAGTCGGAACCTATTCCCGAGTCTCAGGAGGGTCCCGTCACAGTTGTTGTGGCCCATTCCTACAAGGATCTCGTCATTGACAATGACAAGGATGTCCTGCTCGAATTCTACGCACCTTGGTGTGGACACTGCAAAGCGTATGTCTATACAATCCTCCCAGGCTTCCTGTAAGAGTGCAACCAACTAACGATCACTATATAGCCTTGCTCCGAAGTATGATGAGCTCGCAGCTCTCTATGCTGACCACCCCGATTTGGCGGCTAAGGTTACCATCGCCAAGATTGATGCGACGGCCAACGATGTCCCGGACCCGATTACTGGATTCCCTACCATCAGACTTTACCCCGCCGGTGCCAAGGACTCTCCTATTGAATTCTCTGGCTCGCGCACCGTCGAGGATCTTGCCAATTTTGTGAAGGAGAATGGCAAACACAACGTCGACGCCCTTAATGCCTCTCCCGAGGAAACCCAGGAGGGCGGTGATGTGACTGAGGCTGCTCCCTCCGCTACGGAGGCTGAGACCCCGGCTGCCACAGAGGACGAGAAGGCAGAACATGATGAACTGTAAACGGTCTTTCGGTTATGATCCCGCTTAGTACTGTGCCGTATCAATTACTAATTAACTGAACTATCGATTTTCCATTGATAACATCTGTAAATTTCTTGACCAATTCGTTGTTGGTTGACTTTGTTAGCTAAATTGACTAGTTTTTATATGGCCAGACAATGTCCTGAATACACAATTCGCTCCAGACTTGTCTACCTCATCTCATGGAATGAAACTCAGGCTTGTCCGACACTGGAGTCCACGGAAATCCATGTGTAGCATTCAGATGTGAGCCCGATGACTGAATCTTACTCTTGCCGTAGACAAAGGCTGGGTTGTGGGTTGGCACGTCAATGACTGCAACAGTTGTTAATCCTTACACCGTGACCCCGAATCCAAGCGAAGTGTGTCCCAAAGTCGAAAGAGCATAATAGCAATGAGACTTTGACATCTCAGCCATACATTATCATCATCTCAGTCTCCAGCAAGCGGACACGGTGAATAATACCGTAATTCATGAGCCAGAACGGTGGCTTGATTTCCATCACGACTTCACTCTATTAGCTCCCTTAGGTTATGAGCAGTGGAAAAAGAGATGCAATGAGGGAAAGAGTTCTGAAAATTTTACGAAGTACCGAGTATTAGCATCTATCTGGTCACTTCTGCTGCTGCTAGGGCTTCCAGCGCATCGAGATCGTCTTCGAACTCGTCAATGTCCTCGGTAGATTTGGCAGGCTCTGTTGTTTTGGAGACCTCTTCCTTCACCAAACTAGCATCTGACACTTTAGCGATAGGCTTTTTCGAAGAACCAGTGAGAGCAGGGCTTTGGATGGTGGTAAATGGAGAGCTGATTTTGCTCTTCGAAGTCAATGACCAGTCGATGACTTCGTCAGCACCATAACGTTCAGCAAGCCACTCATTGCATTTTTTGAAATGTTGGTTTCCGAACTGCAAAATAACCCAACGTCAAGATCAAATGGCCAATAACCGATGGTAACAAGATTCTACTTACGAATCCTCTTGACGCACTTAGGGGGCTTGGATGGACGGATTGCAGAACATAATGCTTCGCTCTATTGATGCCTGTCACACGCTTGCCTGCGGGTGTTCCCCATGCAAGAAAAACAACTCCGCGCGTCCGTACTCGGGCCACCAAGTCTATGGCTTTCTGAGTGAACAACTCCCATCCCTTGTTTGAATGGCTAGCGGCCTGATGTGCGCGTACCGTCAAGCAAGTGTTCAGCATTAATACACCACGCTCGGCCCAGGGTATGAGAAGGCCACCCTTGTTTGCGGGTCTTTGGAACGAGGGATAGTCATTATGAATTTCGTTGAAGATGTTGACGAGGGAGGGCGGGGCAGGAGTTGGAGGGCGGACGGAGAATGCAAGACCATGAGCCTGGTTATAATTATGATAAGGATCTTGGCCGACTATGACCACCTTCACCTTGTGCAGAGGCGTATGACGGGACCTAGTATTCAAGTTCAGCCCCCCGATTGCCAATATGACTTTCAGTGTCAAAATGGGAGACGACGGAGATTTACCATGAGTAGATATCTTCTTCGGGAGGGAAGATTTTAGCTCCCGATTGCTTTTCCTTCTGGAGGAAGCGCTTCAGTGCTAGGAACTCCGGCTTGACGACTTCCTCCTTTAGCTGTGCCAGCCAGCTCTCGTCGAGAGTGTCTATTTCAAGTTGGAGGAGCTCCTTTTGTTCTGGAGTCAATGAGTCGACCCATTTCTGCTTGTTGAAGCCCGATGAGGACGAAGTGGGTTTTGAGTCGTTGGGTTTGCTTTTGGGGGCACCAAAGAATGAAGTGATGCTTCCATTGGCCTTGGGTTTCTTTGAGTCGGCCTCTGGTGTCGTCAAATGATTAGCATCACGTTTCATGCCCGCTCTACCGGCCATGTTGCCGACAATCGTGTGTCGCCTTTCGTAGGTGAGTGTGAGAAAATATGTCTCCAAAGAATGGGGGCCAGGGAAATCGATTGGGAAGAATTGATAAGACAAGGCAGACGATGAAGTAGCGAAAATGAAGTTGGGAAGGGAACTTGAATGATCCCGAAAGTGAGGGGAGGGTAATGTAGAACAAAAAAGAGAAAGAATAAGGAAGCGAAAAAGAAGGACAGGGAAAGCCCTTCACAGATGCAATGGACTCACCTGGGTGACGGTATCCTTCGAATAGGTCGAATCGCCAGGGGATAATGCATTAGGAATGGATACTCAAGAAATCCTTCCAGCCGCAGCGGAGCACTGGCCGGCAAACGCGTCGCAGTTGCGCGAAACCACGCGTTAATTGGCGTCCATGACAGGTCCGGACCGTCTGGGAGAGGGAATTTCAATTCTCCGTTCGATAAGAATTGGATGTCGTCACGGCGTAATCTTCGTGGTACGCGCTGTCCAATACTTACCCCGTAATTTAGAGCATAAACTATTAGTAGTACTACTACTACTCCTACTACTTTGTAATGACTACTACTAGGAAATAAGTTGATCCTTGAAGATCTAGACCATTGCTTTCCTTGCCTATCAACCAAGGTACGTGCAAGTCAAACCAAGACATATCCCTATGGCCAGATACACATTACTTACTCAACTAAGTAGTTGACCTCGTTAATCGATTAATTACCGTTTTATCATGAACTAGTCGACTTACCCAAAACGCTGCTTACCCAGAAAAATTAGACTACTTGGGAGAAAAAAAAGGAGAAAAGGGGAAAGTACCTGGCATGGCGAGTCATTACTTTTAAGTCAGTCGAATAAAACAAAAACGCCATGGAGCTTACTTGGCTTGCCGATACCCCTCAATCTAGACGCCGGACGCGGGCGTTGCGAGCATGTGCTACTTGCCAACGACGAAAGGTATGTGGCTAATCTGTGTTTCTAATCTCCCTTTGGTGGTGGACTGGTGGCTAAATTCTGACGAGTTCATCTCATCAATAAAAGAAACGCTGCCGCCATCTAGACACAGCAAACGGCGTAAGCCATAACCACGTTTTACAAACAGGCACCAGCAGCCATGTACCGCTTCAACGGCAACAACAGAGTACTGCTATCGCCGGCGATCAACCGGTTGATACAACCCTAGCCGGTAGCCTTAGCATCCCAAGCAGCGTGCCCTCAAGCACCTCCCAAACTGAACGGTTTGTTGGAGACCTGAATCCAGAAGCTGTGATAAGGGAGAAATTGGACTCTGCCAACGCAAGCCATCTGAGGGATCGAATCGGGCTCTGGATCAGCTCCTCAGACGTTCACGGCCATAGAAAACATGTGCCTAATACTGATCATGAGTGGACCGGACACCGTCCCCAGAATGGGCCAGAGTTACAATCCGTCGCATCCGCGCTCAATCAACAATATTCATCTGGTATGGATGCCTGTGGCCGTTTGCCCCATTCTACCCGCCATCATCTGTTCTCCATCTATTTCAGCAAGGTCAACCATATCCTGCCCCTTGTGGACCAGGCATCTTTCACCCAAGCCAACTCGGATGGCGTCGCATCTGTTTTTCTGGAGAGAGCCATTTGCCTTGTCGCTGCTAAAGATAGGGCGGCTGGTCCTCACCTTCGCTTCAGCAATGATGGTCCCCTTATTTCCTCTCGGTCATTCTGCTCTAAACTATATCAGGGATTGGTAGTCGCTTTAAATGTTGGGCTGGAATCTGACAGACTTTGTCGTATCCGCATCTTGACCCTTATGTCACTGCATTGTGAGGGTTACGAAGGTGCGGAAGCGGCGTCTATGCACCTGTGTCAGGCCATTCATCAAGCTCAGACGGTAGGCCTGCATTTGGATCGACCTGGTCGGGCACCCGGCGATTCTCTATTCAATCTTTTCTGGTGCCTATGGGGCCTGGATAGGATGCATGCTTGTATTGGTGGTCGCCCAGTCATCCTCTCTGACTGCGATATTGGAATCGAGAAACCGAAGATTCAAGGTCTTTCTCCCAGATCCGCCTTTGATATCTGGTTTGCAATATCTGATCTACTGTCGACCGTGATCTCGCTTTATCGACCATCATCGGACCATACAATTGGATGGGAGGGCGAATTCCCTGCATTTGAAGGCATTACAGGCGATAAACTGCAAGATGACCTGGACTTCGCTACACTAGGTATGTCTCTTCAGCAAGTCTTCCACCAATCCCTGTCTGAGAAGAAATGGTACGGCCCAGCTCAGAGGGAAAAGGGGATTGGTCTGTTTTCCAGGGCGGTTTGCTAATCACGGGAAAAAAAGGTCTCCTTGAGCTCTACTATCATGCAGTTGCCATACTGTCATGCAGATACAAAGTTAACCACCGGTCGGATGAGTCCAGGCCTTCGTATGTCCGCCAAGGTCTTGCTGCCATACGGATCCACTCCATTGCTGCTACCGAATGCTCCCAAGAGTTACCGCCTTTGCCAATTGTTCCATACGCATTAGCACTTTCTATGGGTGTGTCATATCAACAATTTCGCTCAAGTAAGCTCATCACGCATCTTGATCGAGCTCGAACCAGCCTGGAAGCTTGCTGTACTCTGCTCGAAGAACTGGGCGGGTTCTGGTATTCTGCAGAAGCAACGGCACGACTGGGCCGGAAAGCGTTGCACCAAATTGACGAGGCCGAGCTTGGACATCGCCAACATGGCCGGGCTGCCAGTCCCGCCACGCCCACAGCCCAGAATCCGAGGGCGTTTCTCTCCCCACCTCCGGATTCGTCTTTCGATCCCGCCCAGGGCACTTTGAGTAATGTACGCAGTGGGGTGTCCTCGACTGCGCTAGGGCAGGAACTTCCGCCCCGGCCATTGTATTCGCAAGATATCAGTGCCCCAGACCCTGATCATGACAGCTTTACGGACATTGACACGTTGTTTGGAGATTTTCTCGATCTCTCTCTGCCCACCAATTTCTGGGACCCCTTGTTCATGGCAGAGCCACCTCCCGGGACCTAGGAGGACACCCCCTCAGGAATTCTAGGCTCGGCTTAGGGCGAGCGTAGGCCTGGCTACCGCATCTTCGGGGGCCGGCATCAGGGTCTGCGCGCAGGTTCGCAAGACAGACGACAAGGATTGGCTCGAATTTGCGCCGATCTTTATTCGCTACCAAGGCTGACAGGCTCATCACTCGGCCAAGCTTACTTCATGTAGCACTTGAGTAACTCGTCGCTGAATGTAGCGAAGTAGCCGGCCCACACAGAGGTGAGAGTCCAACAAGCTTATCAGATCATCCGTTCCCTAAGATCAGGGGCCAATGGTCAAGATAGCGGCAAGGCAGGCAGGGTACGCAGAGGCATGGCATGACGAGGGGGGCAGACTTTTTAGATGGTTCGCTAGGAGAGGCCGAGGGAGTCTAGACGTCGACCGGTCTTGACCGGTTCGTGTTGCGGCCAAGTGGAGTCGCCCGACATCAGATCGTCATCTCCCGACGATTCTCATTAAACGTCAGCCGCTGGAGGACCGCCATTGGTGTCCACCATCCGCATTGTCAATGGAATTATGCTTGTGCTAATTACAAAGTAGCCTCAGCCCCGTTTCCATGAATCCTGGCTCTTTTTCGTGACTCGTAAGGCCCGGAAGGCAATGAGGGCTGCCTGTCCGCTGCTTGTAATTTTAAATTGTCGACCTCCACTTTCAACCAACTCCCCTCCACCCCCTTTCCAACCCGTCTAGTGTCTCTGTTCTACGTTTCAATTCTACTATAAACTGGGTGATAATCACTTGCCACCTCTTTCTTCTACGGCCTACTCCGTCTGTGCCTTGCATAAGCTAGCTAGCTGTCTGGGTTCCCAGACTGGAGATAAGCCAACCTCAGCCCTAACTAACATCGGCGGGGTCGATTGGGCGCAAATTCCCACTGCTTGTCTAAACAATTTCCTCCCTCGCCTCGCCTCGCCTATATTGCTATCGATTTAGTTCCTGCGGCGGTCCCACCATTCTTTTGACACATGTCACGTCTCTCATGTGCAATCTAATCAACAGCTGAAGCTTGCTCGTTTCTTCCTTTCTTTAATAATTCAACGATCCATCAATTAATCACCCACACCTTCTCCCCACCCGCCTTCCACTTTGTGTCTGCACGGGCGTGTGTGTACGTGTGCGTGTGCGTGTGCGTGTTTCCATTTATATACAGCAACGTGTACACGGAGGCCTGCGGACTCCGTTGTATGTCTTCGCCACAACCGTTAAATATTGTTGTTGTTGCTTATATGCGCTCTTTGGTCGACCTGATAAAAAAATTACTGCTAAGATGCTACTATGAGCAACCCCTTCATCACGCCTAGACATCCCGCTGAGGGTTCGGCCGCGTGCAGCTTAATCGCGAGGAGGTACTTACTCGTATAATGCTGTTGTTGCGCAGAGCGAGCAATATCACTATAGCCTATCACTTACGGATTTGCATTTGAATTACGGGAGACGGAGAAAGAGGGTGTGTGTGTGTGTGTGTGCGCGTGTGCAACTAGAACAGAAGGTCCCGGATACTGAACTCCAGTCTTTACACCTATTCATGGCGTCTCCAGCGGAAAGGGAAGGACGGTTGGCAGTTTCTGCCAATGCCCGACCAAGCGAGGGAATCAATCAAGCCAAGGGACGGCGACCAGGCCAGTTCTCAAAGCACCCAATCTCTCAGCTGCAGGGACCCTTCGAGGAATCGATACAGGAAGCCATTGGCCTTGGGAACGGTAGATGGATAGCCGATATTGATGCTCAATCTAGGCGCAAAATCTTACTCGAAAGTCCCAAGTATGAACGGCTTTGTGGCAGAAAATGGCGCCAGAGAGCCGATGAAAGGCAAGCACTCGGTCGAGCTCCGGTCCCTTGGACTTGCTCAGCAACATTGCAAACTGACCGCCTCTAGATATCACCCACTATGGAAACTCATTGCCCAGATGTCCTTTGGGGTCCACCTCTTAGTTGAAAAACTCGCCAAGTCTGACGTGGAGGTCTTGAAAATCCTTCAGGTTCATGTAGACGAAATGGATGGATTTCTGAAGAGGACCTCGGAAGATTTTCTTATCATCCAGATTGACGTGCGCACGCGGAGTAAATATCTCAGCCTACCTCTTGAAAATCTGATGATTTTCGATGAGATGCTGGAGGAGCGCAGTTTCCGTGGCTCTATGATCGAATATAATGACAGGATCGAACACGCCATTGATCGATTCGCAACTGCGATCGAAGATTCCCTTAAAGACATCCAAAAAGGCCGGGAGGCGGTTGGTGCGCTATGGACCTACCTTCAGCAGTCAGCCGAAAAGCATAGTCCGTTGCCTGTTAGACTACTGGCTATCTACCACGCTATGCTGGCAAACGCGGAGGGCTGGAACATAGCACTT